GAGTTTGAATCCGGCGCAAGAGAGGGTGGCCGCGTCTGCAGGGGGCTGGACACGGAGCCGCCCCTGGGGTCCGGCAGGCTTGGAGCCCGCAGCGTGGACGAGCAGCCGCCGCCTCCCCAGAACGGCGTGCTCTGGCGGCTGCCGCAGACTCACCGGCGGGGTCTAGGGAGCCGGGCCCCCGTCCACCAGCACCTTCTCGTACTTCCCGTGTCCGGTGGCCACAAACTTGTACCGCTTCCCGGACGGGGTGCTCTGTTGGGGAAGGACGTGGAGAATAAAGGTGAGACTGGCGGAAGAGCGACGGCTGCCTCCAGGAAGCCCTCCGGGATGCACAGTGGACAGCCCCTCTCCACCCTTCCCTGCGGCACCGCCCGCCTCGCGCCAGTGGCGTGGACGCTAGCTACCTTCACTGTGGACGAGGTCTTGGAGCCTCCCTTTTGCTCCCAGAGGCTCTTCTTGCTCATGTCTCCAGCCACGATGTCCTGGGGGCAGAAGGACAGGTCCCAGGCACGGTCCCCTGGCCCTTCTCTCCCGCCTGGTCTTACCCCCCAGGGGCTGGGACCTGCCCAGCTCCCCTGCGTGTGAGACCCCAGCAGCCATAGTGGCCCGGACGTGGGGAAGGGTCCTTCTCGGCCCCCTCCCCACCCCACCCGGGTGCTGGTGCTCTGTCTCTGCACACTTCCTGCCGCCCACGGCCCCACACCTGCCTCTCCAGGGGAGCCCAGCCTGCCGCGGACCGACCTCCCAGGCCCCGACCTCCCGGCACAGCCACGCGGGGGGCGGGGCGTGGGCCCTACCTTGCAGGAGGGGGTCTTGGCCGCCGCGGACTGCGCCTGCACCTCTCCCGTCTCCCACAGACTCTTGGTGCTGGCGACGGCCATGCTGGGAAGCTCCACGGAGGGCTGGCGGGCCAGCCTGGGGGCGCGGCCGGCGCTCTGCGGAGGAGACAGCCCCGCCTGCTGCAGCGCACACCCACGGGGGCGGCGGTCCCACGGGGAGACCCCTGTGTCCCTGCGCATGCCCTGGGCGTGCTCCCCGGGGCAAAGGCGTGGCGCACGTGGGGGACACGCCCCGTCCTGGGAGCGGGCCGGCCTGCGCGCGGGGCAGAGCGCGGGTTTGACGCGGGTGTGTTGGTTACACGGAGGCTGCTGGCTGGATGGAGGAGTATTGGCCGGGTGTGTGTGGGGGGGCATTGATTAGATGGAAGGGCGCCGATGGGGTGCGGGGGCATTGGTGGGGTCAGCACGGCGCCTGGCTGGCGGGGGACCCGCGGCACGGGCGGGCCTGGGCGTACCTCGATGGCCTGCGTGTACTGCTCCAGCCGCCCGTCAATCTTGGCGACGGGCAGGGCGGGCTGGGACTTCTTCACGCTGTTGCTGCAGGGCGGAGTAGGGTGAGGCCCTGTGCCCCCCACCCCGCTTCTGCCTGCCGGCCCAGCCCCACCCCTCCCGGAGCCCCCCAGGCCCATAGGTCTCCAGCCATCAGCCCCCGTTTCCAGCCCCCTCTGGAGAGACCCCGGCTCCGGGACGGGGGGCCGGCACACACCTCTTCTCTATGGAGCGGTTCAGGGACTCCGTCCTGTCGCCGAGCTGTGGGTGGGTGGGCAGACGCGTGGGCTTTGGGCGCCGGGCGCCGGGCCCCAGCTCCAGGCCCCTGAGCCTCCCACCCGCCCGTCCCACCCCCTGTCTGCGCCAGGACTGGCCGAGCGCCCGTGTGGGGGCCGCCCGCACTGGCCGGGCCTGCACCCTGTCTTCCCAGGCCCGTCCTTCGGGCCACAAGTCTGGGAGGGGGGCAAAGAGGACAGCTTTGGAGCTTGACCTACTTTGGTGGTGGGGCTCAGGGGGGGTGAGCCCAAGGGGCTGGGCGTCCTGGGCGGCCGGCACGACTGGCGCTAGGAGAAGAGAAGCCAGATGCCCGGGTGAGCCCCTGCTCGCACCCTCCTGCCCTGCCCAGCACCCCTGGGGCAGACGCCAGCCCTCCCGGGGCCTCCAGTGCTCTCTGCTCTGGGACTGATGGGTCCAGGGACTGTCTCCTTGTCACGTAGGAGGAACCTGCCCAGAGGGTCCCCAGCCTCACCCACTCTGAGAATGTGGCCCTGGGGTGGGGTGCTGGCTCCCAGGCCAGGCCCACAAGGCCCACACAGGGCGGCAAAGATGGGCCCAACCAGGGCTCGGGTGTGCCCAGGTGCCCCTCAGGGGACTGTCACCTCCTCCTCTGCCTCCTCAGCCTCCACAGCCGCCCCCAGCGTGTCCTGGCCGGCCTCCGGCGGGCTGGGCCCCTCCTGGCTCAGACCCGGCTCCTCCAGGGGGGCCTCCTCCGGGGGCAGGTCCCCATCCTCACTCCCGCAGGCGTGCGGGCAGGGCCTGGGCGGGAGGGGGAGAGGGGCAAGCTGACCCCCGGCCATGTGACTGCGCAGTTCCGGTCCCACCCCAGTTCCAGCCTCAGTTTCCCCAGCTGTGAGCAATTCTGAGGCCTGAGCCTCTTATGGAAAGGAGGCCCAGAGACCCCAGGGCCAGCCTGTCTCCTTGGGCCTCTGTGTTGAGGCCTGAGGCCCCTTCAGCGACTGCCCAGCCCCCACCAGGCAGGCTTGTCCCCTGGGCCCCTCCCCCCCAGCTTCCTGGACAGGCCCGGCCTGGAGGCCTCCTTGCCCGCGACCCCCCTGTGGGTCTGGCTGTGCCCCTGGGTCCCCACTGCCCGGCGCCTGCCCCTGCCCTGGCCCCGTGAGGGTGAGCGGGCCGGGGGAAGGGTCCCTGGTGCCGGGGCAGCCGGGAGCGCAGACTGCTGCCTGAGCAGGGGCCGCGGGGGCGGGGGTTGGGCCAGCCAGCTGGCGGCCGCTTGACCCAGCATTTGCACGGGGAGGAAGACGGAGGAGAGGGGAAACCTCGCATTTTCCATGATTTCAGGCCCCTCCGGTGGACTTGCCAGCCGAGACCCAGACCCAGCCAGAGCCACACAGAGGGGCCATTCACCAGCTCCCGCCGCCCAGCGGGCAGGTGCGGGGGCGGGGCGCAGGCTGCCCGGGGCTTCCACGGAAGGGTCAAAGTGCCCCCTGCTGTCCACACGCAGCAGTGAGAGCCTCCTGCAGGCTGAGCCGGCCCAGCTCCGCACCGCAGACTGCCCTGACTCCTGGGGGTGGGGGGGTGGCAGAGGGGGAAACTGAGGCCTGGAGAGAGGAGTGGTGGGCAGCAGGCCAGGCCAGGACCAGGGCCCCAGGTGGGCGGTGGCTCTCGGAGTGTGGGAGGAAGGGGAGCGTCCTAGCTGGAGCTCCAGGCTGGGGGACGCGGAGGGACCCCTGGTCAGGCAGCCTGGCCACAGGCTCCGACCCACCGGAGGCAGCGGGGCCTGACCCCCAAGTTCGGAGCCCCCAGGACAGGGCTGGGCCCCTGCACAGCCTAGGCCTGGGTCGTGGCTGCTCACAGGGTGGGGGCAGGCGAGGCTCTGTGAGCAGCCCCCTCCCCGGCTCCCGGGGTGCTCTGGCCCCCTCCCCGCCTCTGTTCAGACAGGCACACTCGTCCTCACATCTGGCTGCTGCTCAGGCATGCACATCTGGAAATACCTGCTCCCCTCCGTGGGAATGGAGATCCGCCAGCCCCCGGGGAGGAAGGGGCGGCGGACGGGGGGCCCCCATTGCGTCGGCGGGCTGCAGCTGCTGCTGACATGGCAACACCCCGGCCTCGCTGCGGGGCTGGAGGGGCCCAGGGGCCCAGGGGAGCCCAGGGATGAAGTTTCCTCGCCGCCCGCCCCCTCGCCGCCCCTGGCCAGCCGCCACGGCGTCTGACGCGCCCTTCCGCCCTCCTCCCCCTCCCAGGCGCGGGGCGCTAGGGGGCCGGTGGGGAAGGGGCAAAGGCTGCTGCTCCGGGGAGGGTCGGGGGCTGGAGGGAGCCCATGCGCCCAGTGCCCCTCACTTGCCTTTGCGCTTCTGGCTGGCCCCCGGGGCTGGCACACTGAGGGGGCTCCCCGCCGCCTGGGGTACCCCCGGCGCCGCCACCCGGCCGCTGCTCCGGCTTCTGGGACCAGTCGCCAAAACCCTCGTCCTCGTCCAGTTCAGGGCCTTCTGAGGGCTCCAGGCCGAGGCTGCGGAGCAGAAGGGGTGTCAGGCTGGGCCTGCAGCTGCACCCCTTAGCCCTCACCCCAGCCCACCGCCCCTCAGACCCTGGGCCCCACGCGTGGGAGACCCCCATGGCCAGTGGTGGTGACTGCGGGATAGGATGTCTCCTCTTTGGACAGAGAAGTCCCCAGGGCAGGGCTATGCCTCCCTCAACAGCCTGGGGCTCCCCCATCAGCCCAGGGCTCCCCCATCAGCCCGGGGCTCCCCAAGGGCTAGGCTGTGTGTCACCCATCAGCCCAGGGCTCCCCAAGGGCTGGGCTGTGTGTCCCCCATCAGCCTGGGGCTCCCCAAGGGCTTGGCTGTGTGTCCCCCATCAGCCCGGGGCTCCCCCATCAGCCTGGGGCTCCCCCTTCAGACTGGGACTCCCCGAGGGCTGGGCTGTGCCTACCCCATCGGCCTAGGGCTCCCCAAGGGCTGGGCTGTGTGTCCCCCATCAGCCTGGGTCTCCCCGAGGGCTGGGCTGTGTGTCCCCCAGAAGACAGGGACTCCCCAAGGGCTGGGCTGTGTGTCCCCCATCAGCCTGGGGCTCCCCGAGGGCTGGGCCGTGTGTCCTCCATAGGACTGGGGCTCACCGAGGGCTGGGCTGTGTGTCCCCCAATAGCTGTGGGCTCCCGGAGGGCTGGGCTGTGTGTCCCCCAACATCCGGGGGCTCCCTGAGGGCTGGGCTGTGTGTCCCCCATCAGACTAGGGCTCCCTGAGAACCAGGCTGTGTGTCCCCCACCAGACTGGGGCTCCCCGAAGGCTGGGCTGTGTGTCCCCATAGGACTGGGGCTCCCCGAGGGGCGGGCTGTGTACCCCCCACCAAACCGGGGCTCCCCAAGGGCCAGGCTGTGTGTCCCCCATAGGACTGGGGCTCCCCGAGGGCTGGACTGTGTGTCCCCCAACATCTGGGGCTCCCCGAGGGCTGGGCTGTGTGTCCTCCATCAGCCTGGGGCTCCCCGAGATCTGGGCTCTGTGTCCCCCAACAGGCAGGGGCTCCCTGAGGGCTGGGTTGTGTGTCCCCCATCAGCCTGGGGCTCCCCGAGGGCTCGGCTGTGTGTCCCCATAGGACTGGGGCTCCCCAAGGGCTGGGTTGTGTGTCCCCCAACAGGCAGGGGCTCCCTGAGGGCTGGGTTGTGTGTCCCCCATCAGCCTGGGGCTCCCCGAGGGCTGGGCTGTGTGTCCCCCATAGGACTGGGGCTCCCCAAGGGCTGGGCTGTGTGTCCCCCA